GCTCTCCTGGGGGTCACTGTGCCTCTGGAGCTCTCCTGGGGGTCACTGTGACTCAGGGTCATGCTCTCCCGGGGGTCACTGTGCCTCGGGGGCTCTCCCGGGGGTCACTGTGCCTCTGGGGCTCTCCTGGGGGTCACTGTGACACAGGGTCATGCTCTCCTGGGGGTCACTGTGCCTCTGGGGCTCTCCTGGGGGTCACTGTGACTCAGGGTCATGCTCTCCCGGGGGTCACTGTGCCTCGGGGGCTCGCCCGGGGGTCACTGTGCCTCGGGGGCTCTCCTGGGGGTCACTGTGCCTCGGGGGCTCTCCTGGGGGTCACTGTGACTCAGGGTCATGCTCTCCTGGGGGTCACTGTGCCTCAGGGTCATGCTCTCCCGGGGGTCACTGTGCCTCGGGGGCTCTCCCGGGGGTCACTGTGCCTCGGGGGCTCTCCCGGGGGTCACTGTGCCTCGGGGGCTCTCCCGGGGGTCACTGTGCCTCGGGGGCTCTCCTGGGGGTCACTGTGACTCAGGGTCATGCTCTCCCGGGGGTCACTCTACCTCGGGGGCTCTCCTGGGGGCGTGTGTGTGTTGTGTAACGGCAGCCCCCCCTGTCTCTCTCCCCCAGACAACAGCGACCTGCACTTCGAGGTGGGGAAGGGCGCGCTGGGCGGGCAGCCCCTCTTCTCCGAGCGGTTCCCCTTCCTGTGGTCGGGCTGCAGGGTCACCCACGGCGTCGCGCAGGGGCAGGTCGGGTTCGAGGCCAAGGTGGGTGCGCTCGTCCGTCCTGCGCTGAGAGAGAGGCACGCACGCACTCACACACGCACACACACTGAAGCGCGCTGTCTGCCCGTCCTGCAGTTCGTCAGGAAGCTGTCGGACAAGGAGCTGCAGCCCGACGACCCGGAGGTGCCGGTGCTGAGAGTCGGCTGGTCGGTGGACGGGTCCAGCTTCCAGCTGGGTGAGTATCTGCCCCCGAGCGCGTCCCTGCTAACTGCCCCCCTTCTGCTAACTGCCCCGGCCCACGCGTGACCTCTCCCCTGCTCCCCGCCCCCCGCAGGAGAGGACGACCTGTCCTACGGGTATGACGGACGGGGCAAGAAGGTGACGGGGGGCCAGGCGGAAGA